CTTTGAATGTCCATTATATTGCATCATTAAAAACCTTAAGCTGAAAAAACCCAATATGACAAAATCGATCAGAAGGAAAAAAGAGTACGATGCATAGTTCATAATTGCTTTCCTTTAATTGAGCTATATTGCCATTTTTGGGGTATCTTATTAAAAATCTTAAGCCAGAAAAACCCAATGGGAGAAAAACCGATTAGAAGGAAAAAAGAGTATAATGTATAATGCATAATTGCTCCCTCTCAATTGAGCCATATTACAACTTTTGGGATTTACCATTTTGGAGCATTACTTTGCCACTCTAGGGGCAAATCAATCTTGCATCTTGTTAACTCGCCACATTCTAATGCCATATACTAATTTCTCAACTATTGACGTCAATAATGATTTAGTAAAAAGGTTTGTAAGATTATTGGTGGAGCAAATTTGTTTAATGTTAACTTGTCGAATTTCTTAAAGTTTGTGAGTATAGAAAATTTTGACGAGATATGCTTGGTCCTGTCACTTTTAATATATCCTCCATTAATTTGTGTAACGCAAGCAACATTATTTTCATAAATTATAGTGGAAGAATTTGTAACCGATGTTAAACATCAAGAATTATGAATATATGTTATAACAGATCTCAACTAAATACACTCTTTTCTAAGTTAATATAGAGCAATAATCTCAGAGGGTTAGAGGATACAGTTATTAACATTTGCATAGTAGAGCATTAAGAAATGGTGATGCCGTTATAGTAAAATAAATAATCGTTTTGAAAGCGAGCCTTGTATGGATTAGATTTATATCCCATGTTAACATATCCAACTAAACTAGATTTAGTGAAATCTTTGGAATAATATAATCCCAAATCTATAGTTCCTTAGAGATAACGGAAGATATGTTTTATTTCATTCTTGTGTCTTTGGATTGGCTCAAAACTAAAACATGCCAATAAATTTATCGCAAATGCGATATTCAGTTTTATATATTGTGCCAAGCACATCAAAGCCCCAATTACATTTAGATGTGATACTTCAAGACCAAGTATCTCCTCGTCAGTTTCTTTAGGACAAAACAAGTGTTTTTTGGAGATCAAGAGACCTTACAATCATAGGGGTGCTCAATAGGTAAGCCTTGTCCATGTTAAAATGTTTAAGCAATCTTTCAATGTATGCTGACTAATGGACAAGTATTCCATTTGCTTTATGCTTAAGCTCTAGACTAAGACAAAGTTTTATTTTACCCAAATCTTTAACTTAAAACCCCATTTTCAAATATTCAACATTTTTAGATAATTCTTTTAGAGTTCTAATCAAATTCATATTGTCAACATAAACTGCTATCATAATAAATTCAATTTATGATTTCTTAATAAACAAGCATGGGCAAATAGGATAATTTTTGTATTATTCTTTAATTAGGTACTCACTTAAGCATTGATACCACATGTGGTTATATTGCTTAACCCGTACAAAGATTTTTGCAACTTTATTAAAAATAAGTTGCGAAGAGTATATGCTTCAAGCATTTTTAATTCTTTGAGAATTTTCATATAAATATTGACGTCTAATGAACCATATAAATATGCCATCACAATGTCCATAAGATGTACTTTCAATTTTTCAAAAACTACTAGGCTAATAAGGAAACTAAGGGTAATTATATCCATTATAGGTGAATACGTCTCATCATAATCAATTCCAAGTCTTTGAGAGAAGCCTTAGGCAACGAGTCAGACTTTATACCTCACGACCTCATTTTTTTCATTTTGTTTTTGGACAAAGACCCACTTGTATTCAAGCGGTTTTACATTGCTAAGGGTTAGAGCTATAGGCCTGAAAACCTCTCATTTAGTTAGAGAAGCCAATTCAGCCAAGATTGCTTCCTCCCACTTAGGCCAATATTGCCTTTGACGACATTCGATAATATATCACAGTTCATAATCATTGTTTATAATCTTATGAGCAGCTGAGAGTGCAAAAGCATCATCAATGATTATCTCATTTTGATCTCAAATCACATTACAATATGTAACAAAAATCTCAGTATTCCCAAGGTCGATTGTCCTTTCATGGGTTTGTGCCTCTTTAGGGGCAATAAGTTCTTTTGGAGCAAGCTAAACACTATGCTCTTCTAGAGTGGATTCCTAATTCTTCCCCCTTCATTTCAGTGTCTTTTGATCTTATCGATCTTCCAAGCTTCAGCCGTGAGCCATTTTAATCCATTTCAACTTGTTCTTCAAGAACAACAATCTTAGTTGGAACATTCACAATTGGAATATGAAACTTTATAACCTTAGTAGCATCATTAAATGCGTTAGGAAGTCTATTAGCAATAACCTATAAATTGATTATACGTTGCACTTCATTCACATTAGAAGTTACTGGGTCTAAATAGGATGGATTTTTCTCATTCTAGGAGAAAATCTAAACTAGTTTCTACCTTTCAGCCATGGAAGCCTTATGTATCCCAATCGGTGGAAACACTGTTTCATTGAAATGACAAGTAACGAATCTGACGGTAAAACGATCACTTATCGTTGGTTACAAGAACCTAATAATAGATGGTGAATCAAACCCAACGTAAATGCCCAAACGGCATCGAGGATCCATTTTAGTCCTTTCTGGCAATGCTACAAGCACTTGCACAACACAACCAAAGGTGTGTAAATATGAAATGTCTAGCTCATAACCTAGAACTAACTACATAGGAAATTGTAAGAGACTACTAGTGGGGTGTAATCTAATTAAGGCTATCACATGCAAAACAGCATAATCGAGGTTGAATAGTTGAGCTTTGTCCTCAATAATAGAGAATGAGTGACAATTTGGATATGTTTAATTAGGGATTCTGGTAATCTATTTTGAGTATGAATATGTGAAATCCAGTGCGCAACCTCGATTCCTAGTGAAACACAATGCACATTAAAGCTCTTTGATGTAAATTCATCAGCATTATCCATTTTTATGCTATTGATTGGATAATTACGGAATGTCCCTGAAGCTTTATAAATTGTGCAAGAAACATGTAAAGGCGACATTACGCCTAAATAATAGGCAAACATCAGATCATCTGCAGGATGCGTCCACTAATACCATGAAATATCGAAAATGCCTATTTGAAAGTTGTATTGGTCCACAAATATCACCTTGGATTCTTTACAAAAATGAAAGGGATTCAAGATTAACCTTTTTCATAAAAGGTTTAATAATGAGCTTTCCTTGTGAACAAGTTTCATAGGTATAATCTTTGGACAACAAAACCTTTTTATCCTTTAAATGGTGTCTTCTAGTATTTTGGATCATCTTACACATCATCATAGGTCCCAAGTGACATAGGTGATCATGCCAAAGTCCAAACTCAATGAGATTTACTAGTTTCCAAGGCATGTTAACGTTGGATTCAACATCTCTAATAGTGACACAATATAATCCTATAGTTAAAGCTTTTAGCTTCTCTTAGATGGTTTTTTTACCCATCTTATAAGAAGTGATGTACAAATATTCCTTATTTTACTCATAAATTGTCTTAAGATGGTACCCATTACGGTGTACATCTTTGAATCTAAGTAGATTTCTTTTCAATCTACTACTAAGCAATGCATCCTTGGTATGTAAGGTGGTGTCATTTGGCAAAACAATTATGGCATTTTTAGAGCCATCAATAATCCCAACGGGACTTAATATTATATAAACATTTACCTTACGCAATGTCACACTTGGGAAAAAGTGCTTGCCACAAAGTATGGTATCTGTCAGTACACTATTAAGCAAACAAACATCTTTCCTGTTTGCAGTGATTCTCATTTGGACTTGTATTGACTATTTTAAGGATTCTTGAAGACCCACCATCACTTTAGGGGACACAAGAAGACTTAAGGTCCGTTGTTGACTCCAAGCCGGTTGGACAGTATACAAAATTAAAATCTAATTAGTTAAAGAATTAAAAAAAAATTACCTTTCCAGTTGGTTAGAACCTCATGTTGATAACGTGTTGTAAAATATAACTTTGAAAGAAAAGTAGTAGGAATATAAGAAGATCTTCTATTATAGGCACAATGCCTTATTTACAGTGAAAAATGAATTTATACAAATAGAAGGAATGAACTTAATAGATAAGAATGTATATACACTTAATGAAACCAAGAGATAGGGATGTACCAACATAAATATATATTGGATATTATGGTTTCATATATTCATAATATACTCTTCCTTTCGAGTTCATTTTTCTTTGTTCTGCAATCAATCTTGCACAGATTCAATCATTGACTCCTCTCCTTTGTTTATAGGTAATTAATAAATAAACACATTCTTGTTATGTGCATGTAATTGGTATGCAACAAACGATACCATAACCTTTAGGGGAAACAAGATCTAGAGGAAGATAAAAGTAATCTTAACGAGAGACAAACTACTAACAGTTTTAAGGAGCAATACTATTAATCTTTTGAAAGTAGTTTACGTTGCAAAGCTCACCTAGCTTAGCTTCTCCCCTGGCTAGAATGGTGACCAATCGTTATCTCTAGACCTTTTTCTCACACTCCACCTTAAATTATTTTTCTTTTATTTAATTATGATCATTTAATATTTTTTAACTATTTACTCATATTTAGTTATATATAAAATAATTGATATTTGCTAATTATAATTTTTTATTTGTATTGGCAAGGAAAATGAGTAGCGATTCCAATCCCAATCGCATGGTTTGCAATCGTATGCATATGCATTACTTTGCTTTATGGAGTGAACGCCGTGTACCACCTCTCACCCATTTCTACAACTATCGGGTAAATTGGGCAAGACAATGAAAGAAATTACCACAAAAAAAAAAAAAAGAAAAAAAAGAAGAAGAAGAGGATGAGCTTTACCTAAATCTCCGGTTGCCCAAAATGAGTGGAGCCGGTAACCCAGTATAAAACCCACCACACCCAAACCAACCAAACCCAAACCAAACCCAAACCGCAACACCCACCACACCCACGCTGTCCTGCACTTATCCTTTCTAGTCTTACCCCCTTCATTTCATTTCTCCGCCGTATACTCCAGAGAGAGAGAGAGAGAGAGAGATGGCTTGCTCCGCTGCTTCAACCACCACTGCTCTCATTTCCTTAAACCCTAGGTCTTTCTCCGCCAAATCTAAGCTCATCTCTCAATCCCTTACTCTCCCCAATTCCTTCCCAGGTGTCCGTGCCCCTCTCCTTTCTCGGGTCGCCCGCTCCGTTTCATTCCCCCGCACTTCCCATTCTCGGAAGAGCTTGGTCGTCAAAGCCAGCGTATTTTGCTTTCCATTATCTCCTTCATTTCCATTGTTCTCTTTTTTTTAATCTTTTTTCCCATTAGTTCGAGTAATTTGAAAAATGATGGTACTTTGGAGGGGTAGACTGCAATGTGACGCATAATTAATTCAACTGATTATTTTATGAATGCTGAGTGCGGACCATTGAAAGCAGAATTTAGTAGGATGTTTCCAGGCTTTAGCTTTGCTTACTGAAAATTTTATTCCTTTTAAAAAGGAATTGATTAGAATGTAGTTAAGAATAAAAATGTAGAACCACTTTTGATTTTAAAGGAAGATGGAAATTTTGAGTATAATGAGTGTAGTTATTGAATTGTTCGTGCAATAAATTTGGATCTTTGACTCCATTGATAAAGCAAAATGATAAGGTAAAGCTAATTCCATTGGTAAATTTTGTTGGTAACCAAATGAAAATGGCAATTTATATCATTTGAAGTTTGTAAATGAATTAGTATGTTTAAAACCAATAATTTTGTTGATTTCAACAAGAAAAGAAGGGAGCAAATTACAAATGTTAAATGATTTTTTTTAAAAAAAAAAGTCATGATATTTGTTTATTCTAAACAAACACTGAATGATTAGACGGCACAGTAATGGTTTATGGTCATCTTCTGTTTCTGTATCTACATAAATATCTTATAAATGACTCGGTTTCTCATTTCATGCATCTTCTTGCAGAGTGAGCTTCCACTGGTGGGAAATACTGCTCCCGATTTTGAGGCAGAGGCTGTCTTTGATCAGGAATTCATTACGGTACTTTGTGTGGATGTTTTTTCTAAAGTATATTTAGGCACTTACCTTTTTTTTCCAGTTTTATTCTAAATGGTGCATTTTTGTTTCAGGTCAAGCTCTCTGAATACATTGGGAAGAAATATGTGATTCTCTTCTTCTATCCATTGGACTTTACATTTGTTTGCCCCACAGGTTTGTTTGATTCTTAACTAGGCTGAAGTTTTCATGATATTAGATTCTGATTCTTACTTCCACCTCCCCAAAATTGTTCCTGCTTGCAGAGATTACTGCTTTCAGTGACCGCTATGAAGAATTTGAAAAGATAAACACAGAAATATTAGGTGTTTCTACTGACAGTGTGGTAAGCTCCTTGTTGCCAAAAGAAGGTTAAAGAAAACCTTGTGTATTTCATCCCAGTAGCGTCCAATTGTTATATTGAAAAATGTGAATGTTTCTTTCCCCATAAAAAAAATCTTACACGCACAACAGATTATTAAATGAATGCTTTCATCTTCAAATTAAGTGTCTTGCTACTTGGTTATGCATGTAGGTGGCAATTGACTTTCAGCTCTGATCAGGCTCTGATTGTTGACTCTTTGTAGTCAATTCAGGATGGTTAGGGTAGGGTTTTGAACAGATTGAGCAGATCAGTCACTTTTTTGTCTATTTTGCCACATGCATTCTGCTATCATTTAGTAATCTTGTTCAAGTTAATTGGGGTCTGGCTGTTGACTTTTTGAATAAATTGGGTTGGATTTCTGGTTGAGTTACTGTTTGCCTTGTTTAGCCTATATAACAATGTTTTTAACGCTTGGCTTTCATTACTTATTTTAAGATACATGGCTTTAGTGATTTGCAATTTTGCATTGCTTATCTCATCACTGAAGTGGGCCTATAGTAATGTCACAAAGTTGCACATTGTCTCACCAAAGGTTGTTAACTTGTCCACCTACATTGTGTTACAGAATACTCCTTTCCCTCATTAATCTATGTTGCTAGTGTACTGTATTCCAAATATTTTGTGCAGTAATTGTCTTATCTATTCTTGTGATATCACTACGTTTTCTGCTCACAACTATAGAAGAATTTGTAGTAGCACTGATGAATGCTAAGGGGTTTTTTGACCTAGGTGAAATGCTAAGTTTTAGCAAGTATTTCAGAGTGGATCAAAAGAGATGTTTATAGGAAAGGAAAATCAATAGAGCTTGTTGTTCTTCTAGTTGCAGAAAAGCTCTGCATTGACGATGTATTAGTGATCTGCAAACAATTTTATATTTGTTACTTTATACCATCTGGAAAGCTGCATAATAAATGCTGCTTATCAGCTTATGTATCATGTAAAAGTTGATACTACTAAAGGCTAAGTTTTTGGTGGATGTATGTGGTGTTATAGCTTATATTACAGTAGTGTGTGCAGTATAACAAAGCATTACTATGTTTGGTGGTGCACCTGCATTTGTAATTTTGTGATGAAGTTTGCATTGTTGCTTTGTAACTTAGATTATGTTTTTGGATTTCAAGACAAATTAACCTTAATCTCAACTTATTCTTTATGCAGTTTTCACACCTTGCCTGGGTTCAAACAGATAGAAAGTCTGGTGGTCTTGGTGATTTGAAGTATCCACTGATATCTGATATCACCAAATCAATTTCCAAATTGTATGGAGTGTTGATTCCCGATCAGGTATGAGATAACCTCATGTTTGCTAGTAACTAATCCTGAATGAGCAAACTGTCATTTCTTCTTTAATTCTTTGAATATGTTGCATGGAAGAATATTGCATATAATGTTCTTTAGTTTTTCCTTTGGCAATTATGGGGATATGTCCATGGCTGGCTGGACTGTCACCCAAGGGGTGTGTACTTGAGTGCACAGCTGAAGGATCGTGATTAAGTTCTGCTCATACATACGTCTATGTATGTGTATGTGTATGTGTTCCTTATCGAAATTAATTTGTGGAATATAACTGTTTTTAGTGTTTGGTAAGCCAAGAAAATCATGGTCACAAGATATGGTGTTTTTGTTCAAAGAGAAAACTCATGAAAGTTTTTCAAAATCAACTTGACAAGTTGAGATCTGGAAGTTATTTTTGAGAGCCATACCATCTCATATACTCTCTTTTCATGCTCCTCTATGATCCCAGTTGAAATTTTGACCAAATGGATCTCAATTTCATCGTGTTTTAAAATTGGGTTTTGCTTGTGGTACAATCTGCCAACATAGAGTCTTTGTGCTTCATTCAAAATCTTATATATATATTTTTTAAAAAGCAAAACATATTCTCTTAATAGAAGTTTTTGGTTTTGTTTGAATTTAGACTAATGATTGTAACCTGTAATTCTCAACTTGCATTGCTTCGGTTTTTAGCAGATTGAATATCTTCTGAAGATATGTTTTCTTTCCAACATGTGTCATAATGCCTTATGCTATGTTCAAACCTTTTCTATAATTTGCTAACATGATTGTAGTACATATATGTATAGTAGACCCAGTAGACTCATTTTTGGACTTATTGAATTTTCGGTTTTCCATAGGGTTGTGCTATATAAATTAAGGTTAGCTCAGAAGTTTATGTAACACTGAGGCCATTCATTGAATCATTGCCAATGTTGGTATTGCTTTATTGTTAATAATGCTTGTTGGGTTACCTATATGAAGCCACCTTACTGGTCAAAGATCAACATGTAGATACCAAGGATATTAACTATGTTAGCTTCCTATTAGTTTCAATATAGGGGCTTTAAGTTTGGCAAAAGCTTGATGTTAGATTTCTTGCAATAGATTCAATAAGTTCTGGAATTATCCAGATAAATGGCATGCATGCATCTGTGATACTATGACTTATTATTTAAAATGTTTGGATTGATTATCTGTCTTAACTATGCTCAGTGAGTACTTGTTTAATGCAAATATGATATGTACCATACTGCATCTGTTACAAGTTCACTTTGGATGTCAGGGAGTTGCATTGAGAGGGCTTTTCATTATCGATAAGGAGGGAGTTATCCAGCACTCTACTATCAACAACCTTGCCATTGGACGGAGTGTTGATGAAACAATGAGGACACTTCAGGTAATCGTAATATTATACAAGCATGGTACTGCAATGACAGAAGAGTTTAAACTTAAGATTCTGCATGTTACTTTATGTTGAAAGTTTCTTTTTCTACGTGCATTAATTTGTCATTCATTTTTTGCCTCCTGCAGGCATTGCAGTACGTGCAGGAAAACCCAGATGAAGTTTGCCCAGCTGGGTGGAAGCCCGGAGAGAAATCCATGAAACCGGACCCAAAGCTCAGCAAGGAGTACTTTGCCGCAATTTGAGCGTGTGTATCTGTTGTATCCATTAGCAGTTTGTCTAAATGAGTTTTGTTTTTATGTATCTGTTATCAATCGCGAGCTTTGGATAGCAATGTCTGGGGGAATAATCACGTGTGGATCGGGCCTTTGCATTTATATAGCAAACGCAATTATCTTCTTTTTGGTTTTTACCCACTTCCTATTAAACACGGCTCGAAGCATAATCAGACACGACCCGGGGAGCAATGGGCTTTAGCCCACTGGCTCACATGCTTCCGCTTAATTCAGTGTCTTAGCAGAAACCAAGTAATATGACGGGAGGAGGACCTCCTTGGACTTTCACAAATTTTCTTTTATTGTCCATTGAAGGCCGGTGGATAAAGAAGAGAAATTGCTAAGCACCATGACCGCCGGATGCTTTTGAACCTTTAAATGTTGAATGACATGGAGGGAATAAAATTGACTATTTGTCTCTTTTTAAATGTTGTTTACCGGTTTGGCAATACTTGAAGAATAAGAGAAGCATCTTTTCCTGCACTCTGCAGCATTCAGCTATAAGTTAATTACTAAAAGAATTGAAAGAAACTTAACTATCCCATTGTGATTACAGTTCAGCCGATATTGACAGGCCATTTTCTAAAACGACGATGTTAGCTTCCCATGGAAACTTGGAGATCTAGACCTCTCACCTGTTGGATTCTGTCTGTTTAATTTTCTTCTATTCTTGCAAGTAAATCACAACCCTAGGTAGGGTTGACCATATTTTGGCTGACTGCAAAGAATCTTGATATGGGATTACACAGATCCAATCTTAAGTAATCAAGATGCCATCAGTTGGATCAACAACCAATCATGTGTCTCACGTTATACTCATTATAATATGGTAGGTTCATCAAAACCCATTTCTCCCCAAAATGTGGACACTATTGTTTCAAAAAAAAAAAACAAAACATTGTTTTTTGTTGGTTGTTAAGGGTTGCTATGCTAAGTCATTGAATGGATTATGTTTTTAATTATTTCATTGATTATCCATATCGATACCACTTCTAATGATCCAAACATGATTTTGTTCAATAATTTTGGAATCATGCTGACATTAGGGTTCTTTATTAGAACATGCTCTATTACTCAACTTAATTATAAAAACTTAAGGGAGCATTGTAATTCAAGGAATTGGATGATAACAGGACATGGAATTTGAAGTATGGTACTCTTTCAATACCTTCGAACATAAACAAACAGGGAAATAAATTTAAAAAATAATAATAATAATAAAAAAGAGAAAGATCATCATTAAGAAGTTAAAAGTCATCAAGATATTTTGATCCGTACCCCATATTATGATTGGAGTATCATGGTGGATGTGAGAATGATTAAGTTCAAATATTAAGCATAAGAATGAATAGCAAGTCAAAATTATCAAAATATAAACACCTAGGGTTCTAGGGTGGATATATTCAAAGTATACATGAACAATTTGACTTAAGCTAAAGTGTACCTCGACCATTAATTTTATTCGGCTTAAGCCAAGACTTACATAACCTACTGCAAGTGCTAAATCCCAATAATAATTTTAATTAACTGGCAATTAGATTTTATGAGTGTGTAAAATTTGAAAAGTTTTCAATACGAGTAGACACTTTTATTATGTATAAAAGAAGATTATCTCTCCCATTTCTTTGTTATAACTTGCTTGAGAATGACATATCTTTAAACATCTAATGAATATATTATCTTTCTTACCCTTTAATATATATATATATATATGTATTATCTTGCCTTTTTTAATTAAGAAAGGGTAAAATTCCTTTGAACCACATTGCATGTTTCATCAATTTTTATCCATCTATCTTGATACAAATATGTATATGCTAAATTTACAAATCAAACATTATTTATTTGCAAACATCAACATGTAATGTAAAGTCGTTTATCCCATTTCCACATAATAATGACAGAAAAGAAGATTGACAAGATCATGTTTTCTTGACCACTCGTGCCCTAAGTCTTACATGTAAAAGGAACAACATTGTAGTCCCATATGCCATACCCAAAAGATGTCTAGTCCAACCAATAACATGCATGTCATATGGTCTTGTCTAGTCATTGAAAAAGGAACATCTGAATTTAACATGATTTATGGGGGAGAATTGACGGCTTTGTTTCCTATGGTTGACTCCGCAAATAATCTCTTCCTATGCCCTAATTAGTATAACATGATTTATGGAAGAGAATAATTAAGGCATAGAAACATCTTAATTAACATGCTTTCTTTCCTATGGTTGACTCTTTAAAAATCTCTTCCTTTTAATCAAATATTAAAATTAGTATAATTGTATGCTCACATTGTTTGAGATATTGTTTAGTGTTACCTATATATATCAAGCATATTTAATTAGAGCTCAAATATGATTAGGGTGAGTTCTAACCTCCATTCTCTCAATTATGACTGGGATAACATTACTCATTTTTTTCACCTTTTTTTTTCCTTATAATTTGTCCCTTCTGATATTGTAATAATAATTTAAAACATAACTTAAGGTGGAGTTTATCATCCCTTCTTAGACAAATAAAAGGAATGATTATGTGTTGTAATCATGAGCTTTGAATTTGAGTATTTCAATTAAATTTTATATTGGAGGGTTTAGAAGATTAACTCATTCACTAAGGCAGAAAATTCACAAGTGGGCCCATTGAGGAGCCGATTCAAAAGTGGGGCCCAAAAACCGAAACCCATCCGGTCCGCTCTCAAGAGACACGCGTTTTTCTTAAAATACATGATAAAAAAGAAACGCGTCTGCATTTGCGTCTTTATCAGCATTGACCGCCGACACACCAGGGCACAAACAAGTGCGGCAGGGAAAGCGGACCTTGTCTACTTCCTCTTAACTCTACTATTTTGGTCAAGACTGCAAAACATTTTTCCAACAAATTTTCAGTCTTTTTCTTATTTTTGGATTTAAAAAAAAATTACTAAATCAATGGAAAAAATTGAATTGACTAATGTAAAATGTCTCAAGTAGAAAAATTTTAAATTTTTTTTTTATCTATCTTGTCCATTCTCTCAAATATTTGCTTTCCTTTATTCCAGAAAGCAGTAAAATAATAATGTATCGATTTTTTTCTTTTTACCATTTTTTATTTATTATTCTTTTTCCTAAAAAGGTAGCTATTAATTATTTTCATTCAAGAATTTCATAGGAATCATATTATTGTATTTATTTTTATTGAGATACTACAATTTTTAATATAATACAAAATCATTAAGTTTAATTAAAGAAGAAAACCTATATAAAATAGGAAGTAAGATTTTCACACATGAAAATCTTTTCTTTCTTTTAATTTTTAATTTCTGATTTATTGACTTAACAAACTAAATATTATAACAATATGATGAGAAATAAATAAATAAAAATGTTGAATATTCTTTATATATAATATTTTAACATTGAAAAATAATGTTTTGGATGTATTGCATAATTGATGTATGTTAATATTTTTGAGGTGCCATGGTAGAAAATTATTGTAGATAGGTCATGATGGAAAATATATTTTACAGAATAATCTAAATAACTGAAAATATTTTTAATAATTTGTCTAAACAACAAAAAAATATTAAATTTTCTAATAAAATATTCTACACAAAATATTTTCTTTTAGCAAGATATTTTATGGTTACCAAAGGAAAGCCAAACACCTAATTCAAAGCTTTCTTTCTCATTAAAATGAAAAATATTAATAAAAAATGCCTAACCGTTTTGCTTTTCTATTATATTTCATAATTTTAGACACTATATGAAATTACGTGGGTTTAAATTTTGGAATTATCGTGATAACATGTTGACAACTCAAAAATATTCTTGTTTTAAGTTGAATTGATACTCTTAGCTTAGATATGACATGTTTATACACATTTAATTAATCATTTTTAACTAACCATTTAATTAATCATATTAATAGATTTAATTGGTATTACTCAACATATTTAATCTATTTAATCTCAATTATTAAATTATTAATATTTAGAATACCAAATTGCTTGTTATTCATGCTTAAATAAGTAAATTATGTCTAAATGGGTTAAACTCATCATGTCTCATTAGATTAATCATGTCTAAATGAGTTAATTGTATTGTGTCTAAATATGTTTCCAAATATATTAATTTTATTTAAATGTGTTAATAGTAACATATTGTGCAACTCGTGTAATAAACTTGATATTCTCGTGTCAAAGAAGTTGACAAGATTAATTAACTGTACTATATTTGTGTTATTTCGTTTATCGATTAGACATTTACCTTTACACAACAACATTACAACAAACTAACTCAAAGTATCAACCCTATTTTCAACCAATTTAAATATAACGAGTAAAAAATGTTAGAAAATCTCCAAACAATAACTTCACTAAACATTTTATTTATCATTTAAGATATATTACCGATGTCAATTATCAAATTTTCTAATAAAATTTAAAAATGTCACCTTCATTATAAAGTATAAAAGACAAATTTTCCATTTTTATTGTTATAATTAGCTTCAAAAATAACTTATTGTTGTTAAATTATGACCAAATGTTTGTGCTTTACTTCTTTCTGTTAAAGGTGGTCAGCCCCAAAGTGGTGAGAAAGCTAATCCAAAGGATGTAGATGGTACATATGTCTGATGCACGCTTCCTTAATTAAGTCAAGTTTGAAACATATTTGATTTAAATCCCATGAAACGCGTTAATGAAGATTGGGATAATATCTAATTTTGTCTTCTAACTTTACCTATGAACATTTAAAGAAAATAAAATGGTATACATATGGAGTGAGAAAGAATAAATGTAGTTAATGCTAATTAATTGCTTGCAATAGGACAACTAAAGCCTCGTGGAAACGTATTTACATTGTAGTTTGAAGTAATAATGTGATACAAGATAGAAGGTGGTCTTTAGAGTTTGCCATAATCATTGGAAAATTTAGTCGGGTCAAAGGGGTTTCTCTGCAATATATATTCCGGAGATTAGGGATTGACTAATATTTCATGCAAGGATTAAGGGAAACGATTTTCCATTTGTTTGAAAATAGATACTTGGGATTGCAAAGCTGGAAAACATGTTGTGTGAAAGAGCTTGGGAGAGGGTACATTTACTTTCTTTGAAAAACATGTTTCCCAACGTTGCATTAAGATTCCGAAGTATCTTGTT